GGCTCCTAAAATTTTGCATTTTTTTTTTGAGTTAGAATAGAATTTTCAAATCATTTGATATTTATCTCATTTAGATTCAATTATAGATTCATTTTGTGGCTACGATTTATTTTGCCAACCCTCACTAGACCTACTTTTTTCAACGATACATCAAATGATTCATTTAAGTTTATGATATTTAAGTTAATGATTAGTTTAAGTTATTACTCTTAAAAATCAAAAAAATATTCCTTATTTTAATTAAAAGTAGCTTAACCAGTTTCTTCCATACAAACAATTAAAATCATTAATTTCTAATATTCTTAAAGTATTTATTGTCGAATTAGATTTGATATGATAAAAGTATTCAACTACAAAAGTAAATAATTTTACTTTATAATTTATTAATTTTTTAACTCTATTTCTGTGTGCTACTACCAGTCTATAATATACCAAATTTTTTAGTAATATGTTGCTATATAAATCATAAATTTAAAAAAAAAATGATTTTTAGTTTCACCTGAAGTTAACGATGGAGTTTTACAATTATAATTATATTTTTGATAATATGCTCAATTGAGTAAATCTTTTTAACTACTTTGGTTTGATTGGTTCATTTAATTAAAGTAAATTATTAAAATTAATTAAGTTCTGAATATTTCAATTGCAGAATTTTTTTAAACACCAAAAGTTATTAGGATATGATTACTATTCTTTCTATTTCAGTTATCTATTACGATAAAAATGTAAAAAAATCGAATTTTTCTGACAAATGTACTGTAATTAGTAATTATAAAATTTCCAGATTGCATATTAATCTTAAAAATGTCATTTTTTTCAATTTAATAATGTCAATTTGAAACTTGCAAGTTGAACTATAAGTTATGGTAACAAATTCATTTTTTAGCTTCGATGCGAAGCTGAGAAGGTATTTTTCATTAAAACTTTCACTTTAAAAGACAATAAAAAATAGGTTCAAAATGATTACCTTTAACATATTAAAAATCAAAATCAGTATTAATTTAATACAATTTTTTTTGTTCTTAATTATTTTTTTTTATATGTAAATACTTATTTTTTAATAATAAGTAATAATATTAAAACTTAGAAGTAATAGAAAAAGTTTAATTGCACATTTGAAAACATCACGAAAAGTTTATTTAGAAAAGTATATTTTTTTTCTGATGAAAGTTCCTTTTGTTTAGTGTATTTATTCATAAGTAACAAAATTTTTTTATTAAAAAGTATTGCATAAATTCCTTTAAATTTGTATACGCATTAAAAGTATATGAATATACAACTCCTTTTTATTTTTATAATATCTCCGTAAAAATTACAATATTATATTATTGAATACCACTTTCATACTCAATTTAATTACTGTAATTATTATGTATTCATATATTATAGTTATAAATCGGGGTAAAATTAAGGGAATAAGTGTTATTGTTGTTTTTGAAATAATCTACCAATTT